CGATTTAAAGCTAGTGATCGTAAAGCAAACCTTTTAAACAAATTGCGTTGACTACCTACTTGTATTACCCAGAAACCCGACGTTGAATTGCATTGACTTCTACGTCAGGCGGAAATTAGCTTTTGAATCAGGAAAGTTTCCTCTCACGACCTCTAGAAGCCAGAATGTTGAATAAAAAAATGATATTTTTAACGTACTTTACCGGGTTGTCCGTGCGGTTTGGTCATTTTGGCGGCAGGAAATGCGAGACAATGTATCCACGGGAAAGTATAATTACATCAACTTTTTTGAAAGAGCTAGTAGTGCCTTCAGGAGCATGCACACAAGATGGAAATCTATGCACGAGGCGCATGTGAGCTAGCCGAGCTAACCGAGCTAACCGAGCTAACCGAGCTAGCCGAGCTAACCGAGCTAACCGAGCTAGCCGAGCTAACCGAGCTAACCGAGCTAGCCGAGCTAACCGAGCTAACCGAGCTAGCCGAGCTAACCGAGCTAACCGAGCTAACCGAGCTAGCCGAGCTAGCCGAGCTAGCCGAGCTAACCGAGCTAACCGAGATAGCCGAGCTAACCGAGCTAACCGAGCTAACCGAGCTAACCGAGCTAACCGAGCTAGCCGAGCTAACCGAGCTAACCGAGCTAGCCGAGCTAGCCGAGCTAACCGAGCTAACCGAGCTAACCGAGCTAACCGAGCTAGCCGAGCTAACCGAGCTAACCGAGCTAGCCGAGCTAGCCGAGCTAACCGAGCTAACCGAGCTAACCGAGCTAACCGAGCTAGCCGAGCTAGCCGAGCTAACCGAGCTAACCGAGATAGCCGAGCTAACCGAGCTAGCCGAGCTAACCGAGCTAACCGAGCTAACCGAGCTAGCCGAGCTAGCCGAGCTAGCCGAGCTAACCGAGCTAACCGAGCTAACCGAGCTAACCGAGCTAGCCGAGCTAGCCGAGCTAACCGAGCTAACCGAGCTAACCGAGCTAACCGAGCTAACCGAGCTAGCCGAGCTAACCGAGCTAACCGAGCTAGCGCACAATTCACATGCTTCAGGTGATAGAAATCTGAAGGCACTACCAGCACTTTCAAAAAGTTGATGTAATTATACTTTCCCGTGGATACATTGTCTCACATTCCTGCCGCCAAAATGACCAACCGCACGGACAACCCGGTAAAGTACGTTAAAATATCATTTTATTCAACATTCTGGCTTGTAGAGGTCGTGAGAGGAAACATTACTGATTCAAAAGCGAATTTCTGCCCGACATAGAATTCAATGCAATTCAACGTCAGGTTTTCCAGGCAACGACTTGTAGACAAACGCACGCGACGCCAGAAAGTGACCTACAAATGTGGCAGCTCACGTCACAGGTTTTAGCAAGGTCATGAAGGGAAAGCTAGCTATGCAAAATATTTAAATATTTTAGCTAGCTATCATGTAATGAACATACAACAAGATGTTTTGCGTCTGTGAACTTTTATATATAACTTTTATATATATACAGTGCCCTCGGAAAGTATTCAGACCCCTTGACTTTTTCCACATTTTGTTACATTACTGCCTTATTCTAAAATGGATAAAAGAAATACAAATCCTCAGAAATCTACACAGAATACCCCATAATGACAAAGAAAAAACTGGTTTTTCAAAAAATGTTGCAATTGTATTAAAATTAAAAAACAGAAATATCTTATTTACATAAGTATTCAGACCCTTTGCTATGAGACTCAACATTTAGCTCAGGTGCATCCTGTTTCCATTGGTCATCCTTGAGATGTTTCTACAACTTGATTGGAGTCCACCTGTGGTAAATTCAATTGATTGGACATGATTTGGAAAGGCACACACCTGTGATCCCGCAGTTGACAGCGCACGTCAGAGCAAAAACCAAGCCATGAGGTTGAAGGAATTGTCCGTAGAGCTCCGAGACAGGATTGTGTCGAGGCACAGATCTGGGGAAGGGTACCAAAACATTTCTGAAGCATTGAAGGTCCCCAAGAACACAGTGGCAGTCTTGGAACCACCAAGACTCTTCCTAGAGCTGGCCGCCCAGCCAAACTGGGCAATCGGGGGAGAAGGGTCTTGGTCCGGGAGGTGACCAAGAACCCGATGGCCACTCTGACAGAGCTCTAGAGTTCCTCTGTGGGTATGGGAGAACCGTCCAGAAGAACAACCATCTCTGCAGCACTCTACCAATAAGGCCTTTATGGTAGAGTGGCCAGACGGAAGCCACTCCTCAGTAAAAGGCACATGACAGCCCGCTTGGAGTTTGCCAAAAGGCACCTAAAGACTCTCAGACCATGAGAAACAAGATTCTTTGGTCTGATGAAACCAAGATTGAACTCTTTGGCCTGAATGCCAAGTGTCACGTCTGGAGGAAACCTGGCACCATCCCTACGGTGAAGCATGGTGGTGGCAGCATCATGCTGTGGGGATGTTTTTCAGCAGCAGGGACTGGGAGACTAGTCAGGATCGAGGAAAAGATGAACAGAGCAAAGTTTAGAGAGATCCTTGATGAAAACCTGCTCCAGAGTGCTCAGGATCTCAGACTGGGGCGAAGGTTCACCTTCCAACAGGACAACGACCCTAAGCACACAGCCAAGACAATGCAGGAGAGGCTTTGGGACAAGTCTTTGAATGTCCTTGAGTGGCCCAGCCAGAACCCGGACTTGAACCCGATCAAACATCTCTGGAGAGACCTGAAAATAGCTGTGCAGCAACACTCCCCATCCAGAGCTTGAGAGAATCTGCGGAGAAGAATGGGAGAAACTCCCCAAATACAGATTTGCCAAGCTTGTAGCGTCATACCCAAGAAGACTCGCTGCTGTAATCGCTGCCAAAGGTGCTTCAACTAAGTACTGAGTAAAGGGTCTGAATACTTATGTAAATGTGATATTTCAGTTTTGTATTTTTAATAAATTAGCAAAGATTTCTAAAAACCTGTTTTTGCATTGTCATTATGGGCTATTGTTTGTAGATTGATGAGGGGGAAAAAAACAATTTAATCAATTTTAGAATTAGGCTGTAACGTAACAAAATGTGGAAAAAGTCAAGGGGTCTGAATACTTTTTTTTCTATTGGTTGCAAGAATTTTGTAAAATAATTTAAATTGAAAAATTATACGTTTTGTATCAGGCGTTGCGTTGCATATCAGTTCATAAACCTTGTGCCATGGAATCGGTACATCGAAATCTCTTCCCAACTATTTTGCAATCTATATGGCACAGCTGTAAATTGTTTAAATTAAACTGGTATACTTTTTTATTTATCACAATTTGCTTTAACCTATTTTGGTCTTTAATGCATGGCCGACAGACAAGTCCCTTACTTTACCCCCTTCCACTTGCCTCTTCCATTATTGCGGTAATGCTGCAATTAGTTGGTTCTAATTTTGGGTAGAGCAAACATTTCCATATATTTTTGTTAGCTGTGTGTGTGACATAACTCCACCAGTCCTATTTATGATATTATTTACTCATTTCTAACATTTAGTATATTTGAGTTTAACCACAATATTTGTTGTATTATTTGTTCTGTCTTTTCTTGTGGATTAAACTGAAATTGCAACTAACTTTCTATGGCTTATTTTAAAAATAGCGATATTTTGGAGATTATTTCCTTTTCAAATAACTGAAAGTGAGAGGTTGTAATCTGAATAAAGGGGAAAAGGTCATTCTTGAACATGGGGTGAGACATTCTTACTAATCTGCTAAAGAACCAGTTCGAATTGAAAAACGACTTTTCTATGACTGACGCCTTTAGTGAGAGGTCTAATGCTTTAATATTTAATAATTTCTGCCCTCCGAATTCATATTCATTATATAAATAGGCCTGTTTAATTTTGTCTGGCTTGCCGTTCCAAATAAAATTGAATATTTTTTCCTCATATAATTAAAAAAAACTGGTTGCTAGGTGTAGGCAAGGCCATAAGCAAACAGGTAAACTGGGATACGACTAAAGAGTTAATCAGGTTTTTTTTTCCACCAATAGACAGGTATTTACCTTTCCATGGTAACAAGATCGTATCTATTTTTGCTAACTTTCTATTAAAACGTTTCTGTGAACTTTTATTAATAACATGAAAGTGAATATTTTTTTTTTTTTTTTACTTTCACATAAATTTGATCATTACCGTAATGTTTGAAAAGTGCTTGTATTAGTTATCATATTTGGTCCCCTCGACATAAACCAAATAAAAAATGAACAGCATATAGCCGTAATTACGGTATATTCTTCTTTGGCTATTGTCCGTCTATCAATTCTTACACAAGGCTCCCATGTGACCCAGTGATGACAATGCATACAATAATTGACCATTTGGGAAAATGTACACAGGCTCCCCATGTCCACAGACCAAAAGAAATCAGACATAAAAGTGATGGATCATTTGACACCTGTATAATTCTACTAATATCGTGCATCTTTATGATAATCTTTGATATGAATCAATCTCAACAAGAGTATTTGAAAACAGACCGTAATAGAAACAGGTCAAATTAGACAAGTTTTGTTGGGTGTTGTCATTATCTTTATTATAGAACGACACTATAGAACATTAATCAGAAGGATAGAACGACACTATAGAACATTAATCAGAAAGATAGAACGACACTATAGAACATTAATCAGAAAGATAGAACGACACTATAGAACATTAATCAGAAAGATAGAACGACACTATAGAACATTAATCAGAAAGATAGAACGACACTATAGAACATTAAATCAGAGGGATAGAACAACACTATAGAACATTAAATCAGAGGGATAGAACAACACTATAGAACATTAATCAGAAAGATATATGCCCTCTATAACTTTCCATATCACCCTTTTGGGACGGCACCACCAAACGAAAACTGCTCAAGCACAGGGAAAACTGCGGCCCATTGAGAGGGACAATAGGTAACGGAATGTGTGTTGGAGGTAGGAGACAGTTGATATATCCGTTTTTATAAGAGGGGAGAATAACATCATAATGACTTGGTGGATGGGCCACTTGGTTGTTGTTGTTGTTGTTGTTGTTGTTGTTGTTGCTGTTGTACATAACTTGATTCTCTCTGCTTTCCCAGCCTCTAGTGGTCACAGCCAAACAGCTCCAGGGCTGTCTTGTGCTCCTGAGGAATAGCCCTGGCCATCAGCATGATCTTAACGCTCGGAAAGTGGTAGTAGTGGTTCCCCTTGAACAACTTCACGCCATCTGGGCCACACATGCCAGTGTCCACCTTGTCGAAGAGGGTGAAGGAGCGTTCTTTAACTGGAACACGTGGGGAGGCATTCAGGTCAACAGCATAGACTGTTTTACCTGGGATGGGGGAGGGAGAAGCTCAATCAATCCATCTATCTCTCATTTATACCCATCTCTGAGTGAAAACATGTTACAGGGAGTACCTGTTAGTGGCCTTCGTGTGTATATTGCACCTTGAGTATGTACATGTTGATTTGTTGTGTTGGACATGGCTGAAGTGAAAGCCCATATAGTAGAGAATGTGGGTGAGTATATGTCCCACATTTACCTTTAATGATGTGAGCGATGTGATGGTCCTGACACACAAAGGCAGCGTCGATAGGGCCCTCCACTCCCAGCTCCTTCTTCAGGGGTTTGGGGTACCCCTCTAGGTGGGTGTGGGGCTCCCCAACTCTGTAAACATACACCTCATCATCCTGCACACAACGAGAGGAGTGTTGGTTACGATTTGATTGATTTGATTTGATTGATTTGATTTGACAGTTTAAAAATACATGTACACATTTTAAAACTGGTCAGAGATAACACAATAAAGTCAATACATTACTTCCATTGTGGTCCCTTAAAGTGCATGTTGCAATACATTACATAGATACAGACGTGAACATGGTTCTATGATTAACTATCAAACCCACAACTACTGCTATACACTGTGGCTTGATTGAAGCGAGTTACCTCTCATTCAGAACATCTGGATGCTGCATGTCAAAACTTTGGCTAGTCTCACTGAATCTCTGGCATTAGAGCAAGAGCTCATCTAGATTCTTGCTACAAGTCCAGCTAACAAATCCCTTCTCCTGATCTCTTTATATCTGCCCTCTTCTGTCCGAGGTGTGTGTGTGTGTGTGTGTGTGTGTGTGTGTGGTGTGTGTGTGTGTGTGTGTGTGTGTGTGTGTGTGTCTCTGCAGTAGCCGACAGTAGCCTACCTTGATCATGTAGAGGTGGTTTTCATAAGAGAAGACGGCATCCACCTCGCTGTGCAGCTCCTTGAATTCGCTCTCGATGGTGTCGGCTGACCACGTGTCATTGCCAGCATCTTGCTCCAGGAAGTGGTGGCCTAAAGGTCAAGGGTCGGGAGGAGAGGTCAGTAGGAGAGGTCAGGACAGGAGAGAAATAGGAGGAACATATTACTCATAAACAAACAAGACAACAGCAATCTCAAAATGCTCGATGCAACGATATAATGTAAATCGGAATTAGACTTAGACAATCAATCCCTCCAGGATGGTCGTAACGATTTTTTGTGATAGACTTGGACAATCAATCCCTCCCTGTGATAGTTGCGGGCAAAAATGCTCAATTCTGAAATGTTGCATAGACATTTGTGAAGATTGATTGATGTGTGGCTTGATTGAACCATTTCATGCAATAAAAGTGTGATGATTGGTTAAAGTGAGGTGGTCGAACTGTTGCAGTGATTCAACTGTTTTCTGTTGTAACATTGCAGTAATTTGATTGTTTCATGTTGTAATATTGCGGTGATTTGACTGTTTCATGTTGTAATATTGCGGTGATTTGACTGTTTCATGTTGTAATATTGCGGTGATTTGACTGTTTCATGTTGTAATATTGTGGTGATTTGACTGTTTCATGTTGTAATGTTGCAATGATTTGACTATTTTATGTGGGAAAAACATCCATCCCCACCAAGGCCCTACAGTAAGCAACAGTAATATGACCTCTGAAGGCGTAGATGTTTCCGGCATCGTCAGAGGTGATGGCGTCCAGGTGCACATGGCTGCAGCGCTCTCTCTCGGTGTGGTCTGTGGTGTCTCCTGTAGCAGGGACACAATACAGGAGCAGGACCTGTTTGTGTTAGATACTATTCGTCCTCAGGTTTGGTGTGATGAGGAGACTTCTCTCTCTCTCTCTCTCTCTCTCTCTCTCTCTCTCTCTCTCTCTCTCTCTCTCTCTCTCTCTCTCTCTCCTCTCTCTCCTTCTCTCTCTCTCTCTCTCTCCTCTCTATCTCTCTCTCTCACACTCATATCTCTCTCTCTCACACTCTCTCGCACCACTCTCTACCACCACCCCCCCCCCCCCTCTCTCATCTCTCTCTCTCTCTTAATCGCTCGCTCTTTCAAACACATACACAAACTTTCTGTTGTCTTTTGTCACTCACCGAACTTGGAGCACTTCATGAAGTAGTCGCGGGCCTCCTTGGGGTACCTCCCGTGCACCTCCCCTGTCTTAGGGTCGAACTTGGAGAACTGGTGTCCATGGAAACAGTAGTAATGCTCCATGAAGCGGAATGCGCTGGTGCAGTTGGGCATGCCCTCAAACATCTTCTCCTCAACCTTCTTCGTCTTCACATTGTAGTGGTAGATGTCATCACCTGGGAAGAAACAATATGGCCAATCTTACCATGAGCAGCAGCCTGAGCCAGATAAACCGTTGCCAGTGCTACAGCTTGACCTGCCAACAACAGAGCTCGAGCAAGTTGAGACATCGCCAGAGCTGCAGCCCGACCAGCAACCGCCAGCACTCCAGCCTGCTCCGCCTCCGTCTGCAGACTGCCAGCCAGACCTGCAGCTATCGGTGCCCAAGCCAGCACCTCAAACCACAATCCAGCTAGTGTCTCCTACTGGTCAACATGTGTTCTGTACACTACTGGTCTCCTACTGGTCAACATGTGTTCTGTACACTCCTGGTCTCCTACTGGTCAACATGTGTTCTGTACACTACTGGTCTTCTACTGGTCAACATGTGTTCTGTACACTATGGTCTCCTAATGGTCAACATGTGTTCGTACAACTGGTCTCCTACTGTTCAACATGTGTTTTTTTACACTACTGGTCTCCTACTGGTCAACATGGTTCTGTACACTACTGGTCTCCTACTGGTCAACATGTGTTTTGTACACTACTGGTCTCCTAATGGTAACATGTGTTCTGTACACTACTGGTCTCCTACTGGTCAACATGTGTTTTGACACTATGGTCTCCTTTTGGTCAACATGTGTTCTGTACACTACTGGTTTTCCTACTGGTCAACATGTGTTCGTACAATACTGGTCCCTTTTGTTCAACATGTGTTCTGTACATTTCTGGTCTCCTACTGGTCAACATGTGTTCTGTACACTACTGGTCTCCTATGTTCAACATGTGTTCTGTACACTATGGTCTCCTATATGGTCAAACATGTGTTCGTACACTACTGGTCTCCTACTGGTCAAATGTGGTTTTGTACACTACTGGTCTCCTACTGGTCAACTTGTTCTGTACACTACTGGTTCCTACTGGTCAACATGTTCTGTACACTAATGGTCTCCCACTGGTCAACATGTGTTTGTACACTACTGGTCTCCTATGGTCAACATGTGTTCTGTACAAATACTGGTCTCCTACTGGTCAAAAAGTGTTTTGTACACTACTGGTCTCCTACTGGTCAACATGGTTTTTGTACACTACTGGTCTCCTACTGGTCAACATGTGTTTTGTACACTACTGGCTCCTACTGGTCAACGTGTGTTCTGTTTCACTACTGGTCTCCTACTGGTCAACATGTGTTTGTACACTACGGTCTCCTATGGTAACATGTGTTCTGTACACTATGGTTCTCCTACTGGTCAACATGTGTTCTGTACACTCCTGGTAAACTACTGGTCAACATGTGTTCTGTACACTACTGGTCTCATACTGGTCAACATGTGTTCTGTACACTACTGGTCTCCTACTGGTCAACATGTGTTCTGTACACTACTGGTCTCCTACTGGTCAACATGTGTTCTGTACACTACTGGTCTCATACTGGTCAACATGTGTCTGTACACTACTGGTCTACTACTGGTCAACATGTGTTCTGGTACACTATGGTCTCATACTGGTCAACATGTGTTCTGTACACTACTGGTCTTCTACTGGTCAACATGTGTTCTGTACACTACTGGTCTCCTACTGGTCAACATGTGTTCTGTACACTACTGGTCTTATACTGGTCAAAATGTGTTCTGTACACTACTGGTCTTCTACTGGTCAACATGTGTTCTGTACACTACTGGTCTCCTACTGGTCAACATGTGTTCTGTACACTACTGGTCTCCTACTGGTCAACATGTGTCGGTACACTACTGGTCTACTACTGGTCAACATGTGTTCTGTACACTACTGGTCTCATACTGGTCAACATGTGTTCTGTACACTACTGGTCTCCTACTGGTCAACATGTGTTCTGTACACTACTGGTCTCCTACTGGTCAACATGTGTTCTGTACACTACTGGTCTCCTACTGGTCAACATGTGTCTGTACACTACTGGTCTACTACTGGTCAACATGTGTTCTGTACACTACTGGTCTCATACTGGTCAACATGTGTTCTGTACACTACTGGTCTTCTACTGGTCAACATGTGTTCTGTACACTACTGGTCTCATACTGGTCAACATGTGTTCTGTACACTACTGGTCTTCTACTGGTCAACATGTGTTCTGTACACTACTGGTCTCCTACTGGTCAACATGTGTTCTCTACACTACTGGTCTCCTACTGGTCAACATGTGTTCTGTACACTACTGGTCTCCTACTGGTCAACATGTGTTCTGTACACTACTGGTCTCCTACTGGTCAACATGTGTTCTGTACACTACTGGTCTCCTACTGGTCAACATGGTTCTGTACACTACTGGTCTCACTCACATGTGTCTGTACACTACTGGTCTCCTACTGGTCAACATGTGTTCTGTACACTACTGGTCTTCTACTGGTCAACATGTGTTCTGTACACTACTGGTCTCCTACTGGTCAACATGTGTTCTGTACACTACTGGTCTCCTACTGGTCAACATGTGTTCTGTACACTACTGGTCTCCTACTGGTCAACATGTGTTCTGTACACTACTGGTCTCCTACTGGTCAACATGTGTTCGGTACACTACTGGTCTCCTACTGGTCAACATGTGTTCTGTACACTACTGGTCTCACTACTGGTCAACATGTGTTCTGTAACACTACTGGTCTCCAACTGGTCAAACATGTGTTCTGTACACTACTGGTCTCCTAATGAGTCAACATTGTTCTGTACACTACTGGTCTACTACTGGTCAACATGTGTTCTGGTTACACTACTGGTCTCCTACTGGTCAAACATGTGTTCTGTACACTACTGGTCTCCTACTGGTCAACATGTGTTCTGTACACTATGGTTCTGCTACTGGGTCAACATGTGTTCTGTACACTATGGTTCTCCTACTGGTCAACATGGGGTTTTGTACACTACTGGTCTCCTACTGGTCAACATGTGTTTTGACACTATGGTCTCCTAGGTCAACATGTGTTCTGTACACTACTGGTCTCCTACTGGTCAACATGTGTTCTGTACACTCCTGGGCTACTACTGGTCAAAATGTGTTCTGTACATACTGGGGCTATACTGGTCAACATGTGTTCTGTACACTACTGGCGTCCTAATGGTCAACATGTGTTCTGTACACTATGGTCTCCTACTGGTCAAAAATGTGTTTTTGTACACTAATGGTCTCATACTGGTCAACATGTGTTGTACACTACTGTGTCTACTACTGGTCAAAAATTGTGTTCTGTACATATGGTCTCATTACTGGCAACATGTGTTTTGTACACTAATGGTCTTCTACTGGTCAAACATGTGTTCGTACACTACTGGTCTCCTATGGTCAACATGGTGTTTTTACACTACTGGTCTCCTACTGGTCAACATGTGTTCTGTACACTACTGGTCTTCTACTGGTCAACATGTGTTCTGTACACTACTGGCTCCTACTGGTCAACATGTGTTCTGTACACTACTGGTCTCCTACTGGTCAACATGTGTCTGTACACTACTGGTCTACTACTGTCAACATGTGTTTGTACACTACTGGTCTCAACTGGTCAACATGTGTTCTGTACACTACTGGTCTCCTACTGGTCAACATGTGTTCTGGTACATACTGGTCTCCTACTGGTCAACATGTGTTCTCTACACTACTGGTCTCCTACTGGTCAACATGTGTTCTGTACACTACTGGTGTCCTACTGGTCAACATGTGTTCTGTTACACTACTGGTCTCCTACTGGTCAACATGTGTGTCTGTACACTACTGGTTCCCTACTGGTCAACATGTGTTCTGTACACTACTGGTCTCCTACTGGTCACATGTGTTCTGTACACTACTGGTCTCCTACTGGTCAACATGTGTTCTGTACACTACTGGGTTCTCCTACTGGTCAACATGTGTTTGTACACTACTGGTCTCCTACTGGTCAACATGTGTCTGTACACTACTGGTCTCTTACTGGTCAACATGTGTCTGTACACTACTGGTCTCCTATGGTCAACATGTGTTCTGTACACTACTGGTCTCACTACTGGTCAACATGTGTTCTGTACACTACTGGTTCTCCTACTGGTCAAACATGTGTTCTGTACACTAATGGTCTCTACTGGTCAACATTGTTCTGTACACTACTGGTCTACTACTGGTCAACATGTGTTCTGTACACTACTGGTCTCCTACTGGTCAACATGTGTTCTGTACACTACTGGTCTCCTACTGGTCAACATGTGTTCTGTACACTACTGGTCTCCTACTGGTCAACATGTGTTCTGTACACTACTGGTCTCCTACTGGTCAACATGTGTTCTGTACACTACTGGTCTCCTACTGGTCAACATGTGTTACTGTACACTACTAGGTTCTCATACTGGGTCAACATGTGTTCTGTACACTACTGGTCTCCTACTGGTCAAATTGTTCTGTACACTACTGGTCTCCTACTGGTCAACATGTGTTCTGTACACTACTGGTCTCCTACTGGTCAACATGTGTTCTCTACACTACTGGTCTCCTACTGGTCAACATGTGTTCTGTACACTACTGGTCTCCTACTGGTCAACATGTGTTCTCTACACTACTGGTCTCCTACTGGTCAACATGTGTTCTCTACACTACTGGTCTCCTACTGGTCAACATGTGTTCTGTACACTCCTGGTCTCCTACTGGTCATTTTCGTCCCCTTACCGGGACGCTGGGACAGTTGCTCCTATACTCTTAACCGGCAGCTCTATCGTAAAACCACCACATGGTGGCGCTATTTTTCCAGTGCCTTTTATAATGCCTTGTTATCTTCCATAGGGATAGTTTCCTTGCAACAAGATCGATCGCACAAAAGATATTGAGATATTGACTCACCCTTGAAAAAGATGACGGTGTCTTCCTCACATTCGGGCGCAGGACACACCACAGCAGCATCCAGGTGGTCAGGGATACCAGGGAACACCTCAGAGATGTCTTTGGGGAAGCCCTTCTCCAGCATGTGTTTGTAGTAGCTGAATACCTTGGTGTCCTTCATCAGAGCAATACAGGACAGAGGTCAGAGGTCAGCCACCTCAGTCAGTGAGCTAATTAAAAAGTGGATTTAGGACCTGGCTTCTTTAGTGAATAATATGAATAATATATATACATAGCAACTCATCCTCTACTCAGAGCAACTCATCCTCTACTCAGAGCAACTCATCCTCTACTCAGAGCAACTCATCCTCTACTCAGAGCAACTCATCCTCTACTCAGAGCATCTCATCAGAGCAACTAGCCTTAACTCAGAGCAACTCAGCCTCTACTCAGAGAACTCAGCCTCTACTCAGAGCAACTATCCTCTATCAGAGCAACTCATCTCTACTCAGAGCACTATCCTCTACTCAGAGCAACTCCGCCTCTACTCAGAGCAACTCATCCTCTACTCAGAGCAACTCAGCCTCTACTCAGAGCAACTCATCCTCTACTCAGAGCAACTCAGCCTCTACTCAGAGCAACTCAGCCTCTACTCAGAGCAACTCATCCTCTACTCAGAGCAACTACTTACTCAGAGCACTCGCCTCTACTCAGCAATCAGCTCAACTCAGCACTCACTCTACTCAGAGCAACTCAGCCTCTACTCAGAGCAACTCATCCTCTACTCAGAGCAACTCATCCTCTACTCAGAGCAACTCATCCTCTACTCAGAGCAACTCAGCCTCTACTCAGAGCAACTCAGCCTCTACTCAGAGCAACTCAGCCTCTACTCAGAGCAACTCAGCCTCTACTCAGAGCAACTCAGCCTCGTACTCAAGAGCACTCAGCCTATACTCAGAGCAACTCATCCTCTACTCAGAGCAACTCAGCTCTACTCAGAGCAACTCAGCCTCTACTCAGAGCAACTCAGCCTCTACTCAGAGCAACTCATCCTCTACTCAGAGCAACGCAGCCTCTACTCAGAGCAACTCATCCTCTACTCAGAGCAACTCAGCCTCTACTCAGAGCAACTCAGCCTCTACTCAGAGCAACTCAGCCTCTACTCAGAGCAACTCATCGTCTACTCAGAGCAACTCATCCTCTACTCAGAGCAACTCAGCCTTTACTCAGAGCAACTCATCCTCTACTCAGAGCAACTCATCCTCTACTCAGAGCAACTCAGCCTCTACTCAGAGCAACATTATAACTTTTATGAGTCCTTGTTGGAGGGGAATTTAAAATGTTAATTATAACTTTTATGAACTTTATGAGTCCTTTAGAACAACATGGGAACATGTATGAGTCCTTTAGAACAACATTGGAACTTTTTTGTAGGAGGGATGCAGTATGTATGGACTGTACCAAGTGTTTCAAAGGGATGCAGTATGTATGGACTGTACCAAGTGTTTCTAAGGGATGCAGTATGTATGGACTGTACCAAGTGTTTCTAAGGGATGCAGTATGTATGGACTGTACCAAGTGTTTCTAAGGGATGCAGTATGTATGGATTGTACCAAGTGTTTCTAAGGGATGCAGTATGTATGGACTGTACCAAATGTTTCTAAGGGATGCAGTATGTATGGACTGTACCAAGTGTTTCTATGGGAGGCAGTATGTATGGACTGTACCAAGTGTTTCTAAGGGATGCAGTATGTATGGACTGTACCAAGTGTTTCTAAGGGATGCAGTATGTATGGACTGTACCAAGTGTTTCTAAGGGATGCAGTATGTATGGACTGTACCAATGTTTCTAAGGGATGCAGTATGTATGGACTGTACCAAGTGTTTCTATGGGAGGCAGTATGTATGGACTGTACCAAGTGTTTCTAAGGGATGCAGTATGTATGGACTGTACCAAGTGTTTCTAAGGGATGCAGTATGTTTGGACTGTACCAAGTGTTTCTAAGGGATGCAGTATGTATGGACTGTACCAAATGTTTCTAAGGGATGCAGTATGTATGGACTGTACCAAGTGTTTCTATTGGAGGCAGTATGTATGGACTGTACCAAGTGTTTCTATGGGAGGCAGTATGTATGGACTGTACCAAGTGCTTCTAAGGGAATGCAGTATGTATGGACTGTTACAAGTGTTTCTAAGGGATGCAGTATGTTGGGCTGTACCAAGTGTTTCTAAGGGATGCAGTATGTATGGACTGTACCAAATGTTTCTAAGGGATGCAGTATGTATGGGACTGTACCAAGTGTTTCTATTGGAGGACAGTATGTATGGACTGTACCAAGTGTTTCTATGGGAGGCAGTATGTATGGACTGTACCAAGTGCTTCTAAGGGATGCAGTATGTATGGACTGTACCAAGTGTTTCTAAGGGATGCAGTATGTTTGGACTGTACCAATTGTTTCTAAGGGATGCAGTATGTATGGACTGTACCAAGTGTTTCTAAGGGATGCAGTATGTATGGCCTGTATCAAGTGTTTCTATGGGAGGCAGTATGTATGGACTGTACCAAGTGTTTCTAAGGGATGCAGTATGTATGGATTGTACCAAATGTTTCTAAGGGATGCAGTATGTATGGACTGTACCATGTGTTTCTAAGGGATGCAGTATGTATGGCCTGTACCAAGTGTTTCTATGGGAGGCAGTATGTATGAACTGTACCAAGTGTTTCTAACGGGTGCAGTATGTATGGACTGTACCAAGTGTTTCTAACGGGTGCAGAATGTATGGACTTTATCAAGTGTTTCTATGGGAGGCAGTATGTATGGACTGTACCAAGTGTTTCTATGGGCGGCAGTATGGTTTTACCAAGTGTTTCTAAGGGATGCAGTATGTATGGACTGTACCAAGTGTTTCTAAGGGAGGCAGTATGGACTGTACCAAGTGTTTCTAAGGGAGGCAGTATGGACTGTACCAAGTGTTTCTAAGGGAGGCAGTATGGACTGTACCAAGTGTTTCTAAGGGAGGCAGTATGGACCGTACCAAGTGTTTCTAAGGGAGGCAGTATGGACTGTACCAAGTGTTTCTATGGGAGGCAGTATGGACTGTACCAGGAAAAGGAAGATGTGGTCGTGCTCAGTGGGTCTGTCTTCAAAGTGCATACGGAATGCAGCGTCCACGTGCCCCAGGTGTTGATGGTCCTCCAGCTCAGCGAATGATTGGTTGGAGAGCTCGGCTTTACCGTGGAAACCCTTGAACACATGGTCACCTGGCAGGGAACACCTTTGGTCAACCAACATGGGAATAGAGAAAAGGAAGTTCCACAGAGCCCACCCTAGTTTCCTCAGCTTGCTTACAAAACGGATTCAGTATGCATTAATAGCTGAACAATATGGATTGGACACCCCTTGGAGCCTGGTTCCTCTCTAGGTTTCTTCCTAGGTTCCTGCCTTCTATGGAGTTTTTCCTAGCCACTATGCTTCTGCCCCTGCATTGCTTGCTCTTTCAGATTTGCTTGCTCTTTGAGGTTTTAGGCTGGGTATCTGTAAAGCACTTTGTGACAATTGCAGATGTAAAAAGGGCTTCATAAAATACATTTGATTTTGTAGACCTAGTGCTGAATTGCACCTGTTCGATGACAGAAAGCACATGTCTTGTGACCAGAGCATGTGAGCAGAGTTGAATGGTAGGAAATCCCGCTCATCGCTCGTGGAGCAGTGCGCAGTCCAGCACTCCATGTCCTTTCCTACGGCTCCGCTAAAAACCGCTCCACGCTCACAGGAAGAAAAAAACTCCCGCTCCAAATTCGCTCCATTCATTAAAATCACAATTTAACCGACACCCATCTATTTTTGTGACTACCTGGACCTACCGATTGGTTTTTGAAGTATTGAAACCAAACCATATGGATTTCAATGAAAAGTATTTCATATAGGCTGTGACTTACTTAGAATTAAATACAAATTAAACGAAAAATGACTTATTAGTGCGTTTGAGTTCATTTTTAGAATTCATTTTTAGAAACAGGAGTTTGGCCAGTCTGTGGCTTCAGACTCATGCGATGGTGCCTGGAGAGCCGGCCAGCAGCGGATAATATCCTCTCCATGGTGCCTGGAGAGCCGGCCAGCAGCGGAGAATATCCTCTCCATGGTGCCTGGAGAGCCGGCCAGCAGCGGAGAATATCCTCTCCACACTTGCAGAGCCACTGGGGATGATAAACACGCGTTTGGCCACTCTTGCCAAGCTGGGAGGAGATGCAGAGATGTTTTTTGATTTTTCTATAGGTAGGCCTAATGGTTGAACGTGGGAATATGCCAGGCCTATTGGGCCAAAATCAATGATGGCCTATTGTATAGATAATAGAAGGAAAATGAACGAAACGTTTAAGAGATCCGATTTTTTGTTTATAAATACTTTGCTACAGTGACACACTTACTTATCTACCCACCTCAGTCTTTTATTTTAGCATGTGCACGCAGTAAGTACACCGTCATACTTTTGGGATAAGTGTCTTTTCAGCTTTGTCAACGATTCTGTAGTTGTGGATGTTTGATGTAGCCAGCGTGTAACAACTGCCATTTCCCGCGCGTAGAACAATGGCATCCGGTCTATAAGCTAACAGTTTAGCAGCATTACCAGCAGGTGGCATCCAAGCCTAACACATAACAGCGGACACTACATCGCCACACTCCCTCGCTTGCTCTTGGTCCTCATCTTTGTAAGTCATCTTGATTTGGCACCTGTGTGTTTTTATTAGTTTCTTTATGAAAATATTTAGCGAACTCCATGACGCTAGCTAAAGCAAAGGGCTATTAGCAGCACACAAGTAGACTACAGATGCATGCTGGTCCGGGCACGCCCTGAGCTCCTGAAGTGAGTTCTACCTGGAGGCTACTGGACCGGGCGAGAATGCCGACTCTCCAGCCTTTGGGAATATTGCTCCACGCTCCAGTCAAATTGGGCTCAGCTTCTCGCTCGGCTTCAGCTCCGCTCACACACTCTGCTTGTGACCAATGGCTAAATGAGTGACAGTTGGTTCTAGCAGGACTGGAGTCTGACTCACCCTTGAAGAAGTAAGGGATTCCTTCCTCATTCACAGCAACAGCGTCCATCTCGAGCCCATCGCAGCGGTCGAGCATAACACCAACGGTATGGCCGTGTCCCTCGTGTCCTGAGAAAGGATTTAACCGAATATTACTGATTCTTCCCACAAACAGTCACAGGAGTACATTTTTGGGCGATTTTAAGACAAGCCCAAATTGAAGTTTTTCCAATAAGTAAATTAGCTAGGAGAAATACAACTTTGTATGGGGGGGGGGGGGGGGAGAGTTTCCCATTTGTTCAATGTGAAACTACCTTTCGGCATCATCTCCCTTCCTCTAACATCTCTGCTGTTACTAATGTAGTTAGGAAAGTAAATTCAGAAAGGCCCATCTGAATGGATCATTATTTCATTCATCTAGTAAACTCTATAATGCGCATCACTTCCTATCTCACTAATCAGCATAGCAGGTATCCATGGTAGTGTTTTTTTTAATGGTACCTCATTAGCATAGCAGGTATTGATGTGGGAGTGTCCATGTCCATCAGTAAAGCAGGTATTTTTATGGTAGTGTAAATAACGTTACCTCATCAGGATAGCGTCTCAACCTTCCTCCTCCTTTACCATTAGTAAGTGTGTGGAATGTCATTTGCCTATTAACTTCTGCCTATGAGCATGGCATACTAAGGCAATTCCACCACACTTGCTGGTTAACCTATGGGATCACTCGTGCAATAATCACTTCCCTTTCTGTCAACCGATGGCCTCGTCTCTCACTTGATGTTTTGCAGCAACAGTCTTCCAACGACCTTCCACCTCTCCACCGCATAATAATAATAATAATAATAATAATATTGTATTATGTCTCTGTTGTCATTCAGTTAAGCCTGTACTCGATTGAACTGTTAGTTGTTATGTATTAAAGCATTCGATAAGCTGCAACTGTTAGCTGGTTCAAGTTGTCTTCTGGTGACCATGAGAAGTGTCAAGCTAAAAAGTCACCTGGTTCAGTTGTCTTCTGGCCCTTCATACCCTCTCCTGATACTCACCTCCCTCTTGATGTCCAGCTTGGTGGTGGGCATGGCTGAGAGCCAGAGCCAGGGACAGGCACAGTGTCTGGGTGAGCAGCTTCATGGTGTCCTTCGGATCCAGGAGAAAGTTCTGGTCTGCGGCTGGACGAGTCTTTTATATACCTGAGCCAGGGTTGTGGGCGTGTCTGTCTCTCTGTCTGTCACGATGGACACCAGGACTGGATGAGTCGGGTGGGTAGTGCAAAGGGGGTGGGGTGTGTGTGTGTGTGTGTGTGTGTGTGTGTACGTGCAGTGCAGAGCACAGCCGTGGGCAGACCTGGCATCATGTGCCGTCCCACAAAGATGCCCACACGTTTGTAAACAGGGAGAGATTCTGTGTGTGTGTGTCTGTGTGTGTGGAGGGTCTGGCTGGTCAGGCCAGTAGCCATTGGTCAATCCATCCATCAACAGAATCTCGCCCTTCAACCAGATACTAGAATCAATAGAGGTAAATGTCCAGTGTTATTATGTCCAGTATTATCTAAGTGCTTTCCATCTGGATACCACTACCCCGGCCACCAGCTCTGCACCCTCCGCTGCACCGATCACTGTACCTGTACACAGCCCATCTGTAATTAGCCCACCCAACTACCTCATCCCCATATTGTTATTTACATTGTTATTTATTTTGCTCATTTGCACCCCAGTATCTCTATTTGCACATCATCTTCTGCACATCTATCACTCCAGTGTTAATACTAAATTGTAATTATTTGACACTATGGCCTATTTATTGCCTTACCTCCATAACTTACTACATTTGCCCACACTGTATATATATTTTCTATTGTGTTATTGACTGCATGTTTTGTTTTACCCCATATGTAACTCTGTGTTGGTGTTTTTATCGCACTGCTTTGCTTTATCTTGGCCAGGTCGCAGTTGTAAATGAGAACTTGTTCTCAACTGGCTTACCCGGTTAAATAAAGGTGAAATAAATAAATAAAATAAAAAAAGTCTTATATCCAGTCTTATGTAAGTCAGCGCAGACAGCGTATCCACAGACAAACATGTTTTTTCTTTTTATCAGGGATGACTCCAGAACAGGACCATTCTCCCGTCAGCAAGGTAAATATGTAGAGACTAAAATAAATAAAACCACTGACCATTGTACTTCAGAAACCCTTTGTATCAACTATATCTAACATTTATAGGGTGAATATTTTACAGACCTACTGGGATAATGTGTACTTGAGGCTTGCATTCTCAGGGGAGATCATTCCTTTTCTGCCTGCAAAGTTGCAGACATTTTAAACGTTATGAATTTGAATTTGCATGAAAGACAAGGGTTTTGTAGTTGAAGTAAGATAATTTACAGTTGCTTACCACAGCTAATCAAATTATGTAGATGCATATAAATAACTGAAGTAAATAGTATGAAGGGATAAAACATGATGATTGCATGAGGAAAACACCAATATCAATAACTCACAAGACACAAAGCAAATCCAATCAACTCCCACTTCTCTCCAAAGCCAAAAGTGTTATTTTGACGTTTTTGATCTGGTGTCTATGTTTGCAGCCTACACATTGTCCAATAAAGCCACTGGATTCTGGACTACCCAAGTCCTGGCACTGTTTTGACAATGGAAATAGTCTGGGTAGATATTTGATTAGCTGTTCAGGAGTCTTATGGCTTGGGGGTAGAAGCTGTTAAGAAGCCTTTTGGATCTAGACTTGACGCTCCGGTACCGCTTGCCGTACCGCTTGGAGTCTTTGACAATTTTTAGGGCTTTCCTCTGACACCGCCTGGTATAGAGGTCCTGGATGGCAGGAAGCTTGGCCCCAGTGATGTACTGGGCCGTACACACTACCTTCTGTAGTGCCTTGCGGTCGGAGGCCGAGCAGTTGCCATACCAGGCAGTGATGCAACCAGTCAGGATGCTCTCGATGGTGCAGCTATATAACCTTTTGAGGATCTGAGGACCTATGCCAAATCTTTTCAGTCTCCTGAGGGGGAATAGGCTTTGCCATGCCCTCTTCACGACTGTCTTGGTGTGTTTTGACCATGATAGTTTGTTGGTGATGTGGACACCAAGGAACTTGAAGATCTCAACCTGCTCCACTACAGCCCCGTCGATGAGAATGGGGGCGTGCTCTGTCCTCAGTCATGGGGTGAACAGGGAGTACAGGAGGGGACTGAGCACGCACCCCTGAGGGTCCCCCGTGTTGAGGATCAGTGTGGCAGATGTGTTGTTGCCTACACTTATCACCTGGGGGCGGCCCGTCAGGAAGTCGAGGATCCAGTTGCAGAGGGAGGTGTTTAGTCCCAGGATCCTTAGCTTATTGATGAGCTTTGAGGGCACTATGGTGTTGAACGCTGAGCTGCAGTCAACATTGAGCAATTAAGCGCTTAAATATCCAACTGGAGTTGATATGAATATTGCAAAATGGTACCATGGCATAGATGTCACAGACATCATTTTGCACTTTTAGTCAATGATGAAGGTACTGTATCTTGTCACAATCATTGTCACGCCCTGGCTCTGGGGACTATGTTATGTTGAGCCAGGGTGTGTGATTCTAGGTTTGTATATCTATGTTGGCCTGAGTGACTCCCAATCAGAGGCAACGAGTGTCAGCTGGTTGTCTCTGATTGGGAGCCATATTTAACTGTCTGGCTTTTCACTTTGTGTTGTGGTTTCTTGTTCCGTTAAGGTTTGTTGATGTAACCAAGGACGTCACGTTTTGTTGTTTTGATCGTGTGATCATTCGTATAATAAATATGTTTGCTTTCAACGCTGCGCCTTGGTCCTCCTTAAGCGATCGTGACAGAAGAAACCACCATAACAGGACCAAGCAGCATGAGGAAGAGAGAGGATTGACTTGGGAGCAGTTGAGTAGGAGTCTCGACTGGGCCAAGCCAAGAGAAGAGGAGAGAGGTTGGACTTTGGAGCAGTGGGGTGAGAGTCTGGCGAGAACGATGGAGGCCTTGGCCACGGGTAGGCGTGAAGCCCATAAATTTTTTAGGGGGGGGCTAACGCCGTGGACGACGGGGCAGCAGGAGGCTGCCAGGTTACGGGAGTCGCTGGTCACCAGGGGGAAGGAGGATGTAGAGGCACGGCGAGAGGTACTGGCGTGTGTTGCCAGTCCGGTCCGGCCTGTTCCTGATCCCCACGTAGGGCCAGTGGTGTGTGTTCCCAGTACGGTCCGGCCTGTTCCTGCTACTCCCACCAAGTCAGTGGTGCGTTTCGTCAGCCCGGCGCGGCCCGTCCCTGCTCCCCGCACCAAGTCAGTGGTGCGCGTCGTCAGCCCGGTCCGGCCCATTCCTGCTCCCCGCACCAAGTCAGTGGTGCGCGTCGTCAGCCTGGTCCGGCCCATTCCTGCTCCCCGCACCAAGTCAGTGGTGCGCGTCGTCAGCCCGGTCCGGCCCATTCCTGCTCCCCGCACCAAGTCAGTGGTGCGCGTCGTCAGCCCGGTCCGGCCCGTTCCTGCTCTCCGCACCAAGTCTGTGGTGCGCGTCGCCAGCCAAGTCGGGCCCATTCCTGCTCTCCGCACCAAGTCTGTGGTGCGCATCGTCAGCCCGGCTCGGCCCGTTCCTGCTCCCCGCACCAAGTCAGTGGTGTGCTTCGTCAGCCCAGTCCGGCCTGTCCCTGCTCCACGCACCAAGTCAGTGGTGCGCGTCGTCAGCCCGGTCCGGCCCGTTCCTGCTCTCCGCACCAAGTCTGTGGTGCGCGTCGCCAGCCAAGTCGGGCCCATTCCTGCTCTCCGCACCAAGTCTGTGGTGCGCATCGTCAGCCCGGCTCGGCCCGTTCCTGCTCCCCGCACCAAGTCAGTGGTGTGCTTCGTCAGCCCAGTCCGGCCTGTCCCTGCTCCACGCACCAAGCCTACGGTGTGCGTCGTCAGCCTGGTAAGGCCCGTTCCTCCTCCACGCACCAAGCCAGGGGTGCGCGTCGTCAGTCCAGCACAACCCGTGCCTGGGTCATGTCCGGAGCCGGATACGAAGCCGAGGCGGAGTGCCCACCCGGTCCCTCCCCTGTTGTGGTTGTTTGGCGCGGTCGGAGTCCGCGCCTTTGGGGGGGGATACTGTCACGCCCTGGCTCTGGGGACTATGTTATGTTGAGCCAGGGTGTGTGATTCTATGTTTGTATATCTATGTTGACCTGAGTGACTCCCAATCAGAGGCAACGAGTGTCAGCTGGTTGTCTCTGATTGGGAGCCATATTTAACTGTCTGGCTTTTCACTTTGTGTTGTGGTTTCTTGTTCCATTAAGGTTTGTTGATGTAACCAAGGACGTCACGTTTCGTTGTTTTGATCGTGTGATCATTCGTATAATAAATATGTTTGCTTTTAACGCTGCGCCTTGGTCCTCCTCTCTCGTAGACGAGCGTGACAATCATGAATCATCTAGATTATTCCAATTGACAGAGGTCAGGGGTCAAGGTCAAGCATCAGCACTAATATTAAGAGGTGTGATGATTAATATTGCATGTATTTTGGTATTGGATATTATTCATTCCCACTCATGCACACCTTTGTACCTTGGTGGGTTGGTCAATTTCACCCCGGAACCTGAGCAAGACAGCATTGTCAGGATACATAGTGAAGTTTTATTAAACATATGATCTTATATTTTATGCAATATGTCTGTTGACAGCATATGTTTTATCCTCTGCACTATATTGCACAGAATATAAATGTGCCATTGTGCTACAACATAGTGGAGTCTCTGCTACTGATCTCTCTGCATGTTTAACATACAGAATGATAACTATATATATATATATATATTCAACCATACAATTCACACATCGGATAGTGAAAACTTGGTGCAAGTAATGGGCTGTGTCGAGTTTCAAATAACATAAACACTCTTTAAATGTCAATGGTTGTATTGAGCAATGCCAATGTGAAAAGCACGTCACACTATAGCTATGGGGCTTCTATTCGGAGTCAGTGTTTCCATGCTGTGATGTGTCTCTTCAACTGGAGAGATGAGCTTTTCATTACCAGGAGAGCATGGTCACACAGGTAGGAGGAGCAGTGTCTGTCAATCATGAGTAAAAGTGACTGGGCCAACATTTCCAGCAAAAATGCTGCCAAAATACCCAGACATCAGCGGTGTTGTCATCGTTCATGGAGAGGTGGCTATACTCTAATTTTGCCAAAATTGTCCCAATCGGCCTGCCTGGGGAATGAAAGATGCCCTCGGCCTGCCTGGGGAATGAAAGATGCC